GATATATATATATATATCGTGACGATATGAGTCGGTGAAACTCCGACGAAACAGTTTGTCACAGCCCCTCGTTTGTTGTCCTCTTCTCCCTCTCTGCCTACGGTTTACCGGGCAGTTCTATTTGACGATATATATATATTTCTGGGCGGTTGTTTGGCCCGCCCGGTTTACCCGGGTGGCCCCCCCGGGCCCAACCGGCCGGGCTGCGTCCTCACTCCGTAATTTGGACCATTTCTCGATTTATGCGTGTCATCCTTGCGCAGGGGCCATGCTTATCTTCTCTGTATCGTTCCAATTTTAATGGATGTCTCGAAGGACGCAATACACAACTATCGCGAAGTAGCAACAGAACAAAATAGGTAGTGTAAGAGCCGCCCACCCAGAAAATGCATTTGGACATCTACGATGACATTGTGGATGCAAATGCCAGCAAAATGGTGATCCATACTCCATAAGATAACAGAAGAATCGAAGAAGATAGAAAAACAGTCACGAACATGAGAAATCGACCACCATGTTGAAGAGTACATGCTGTGTGTTGTTCCAACTTAGCAATGCATGTTGAAGAGTACATGTTGTGTGTTGGCGAACTTGGCATGTCTGTAAGGGGGGTGGGTGGTGTGGATGGCTGTGTGGAACTATGTTCACATGTGCATGCGTTGTTTGTGTTGAGGTGTTTTTGGTTGTGGGGGTGGAGGGTAGGTGGTTTTGTGTGTACTGTTAGTGTTGACTTTCGACTCCATGTATCGATTTCTCGCCCCATGGATCTTGTTGACATTTTCCGCTTGTTCGATATACTCATGCCCTGTACACAATTGTGCTGTCGTTGCCTGTCCTTTCGTTGTTGCCGCCATTGGTCTCCCTCTCTGTCTGTCACTTTATTTCTAACAGCTATCAACACAGGCGTAGCAGGATGTGCGACTGGATTGGTACTGAGCTGGGGAAGTAAGTCCACCTTTGACTTTATGGACCTTGGCTTTCCATTTCGATGTTTGTGATTTCAAAAGTGATAATGTCAAGTTGCAATCCTCCTCTTCGGTATTTTGAAAATGTGCAGTAGTGGCATTTTTGGAATCATCACTCTATTTTCTTCCAGGTGTGGATGGAAAGTTGGTAACCTACGGCAAGCATCTCCTCTGCTCTTCTCTGCCTCTTTAACTCTTTCGCAATCTTTTTTTCTTGTTCTGTCGGCAAACATCTCCTCTGCGCTTCTCTGCGTTAACTCTTTCACAATCTTTCCTTTCATGTTCTGTTTTTTGTTTGGCTTGGCGATCAAGAGTGCTATGGCTAAGGAACAGCCAGACGTCTGCTTTTGGGGCATTATCATTATGTAGTCTCTCCTGCCGTTCACCGTTAGCTCATCAGGATCATCACCTGCCGTTCACCGTTATCTCATCAGGATCATCACGGTTATGCTGTCCGTTGCGTAAACAGCTTTGTTGTTAGAATCTCCGTGCATATCTTTATCGAGCGAGCCTCTACGAAGAAATGTGGCTCGAAAGAGCGAGCTGGGAGTCTGGATTTCGGAACCTGGTTACCAGCCATTGCGTGGTTTCTTTAGGTCTTTGCCTGCTATAGCAAAGACCTTAGCCATCTCATCAGGATCATCACAGTTATGCTGTCCTGTGTGGTAGTAGTTGAAAATTGTGTCGTAGGTCTGAGTAGTTGTTGGGTCTTGAACCTTAGACCTGTTGAAGTAGGGGTCATGCCTGCATAGTTCTGAAGGGTCGGGGTCGTAGCTGCTACAGTCCTGAAAGGTCAAGGTCGTAGCTGCTATAGTCCTGAAAGGCCAAGTCTGCAAACTTCGGGAAGGTCCGCAAGTGGCCTTTCAAGTCTCTTCTCACGTTATACACAGCAGACGAGAGGCAAGTGGGCAAGTGGGCAAGTGGTGAGTCCAACTTCGCTTAGTCAGCGGTACCCAGTCCCAGTCTCACTTTGTACAGTCAGCAAGTACCATGAGGGACTGTGTGCACCATGGGCCCGGTGGAAAAAGGCAGACCAGTTACTTACAGAAGTATAAATCAAGAGGCAACGTCCAGCCATCCATTCATTCTGCTGTGCGCCATGCGGAAGCGTTCCCCGAGTGTCTTGTGCGAGGTGGTCTGCAGATGCCCAAGGTCGATGTGGGGTTGAAGAAGTCAGTGCGCCATAGTTAGTAGGTCTGGCGGCCACAGCCGCCATAGCTAGTGTTAGGTGTTAGTGTGTGTGTACGTGTGTGTGGTACAGTGAACGCGTGTGGGGTATTCAGGATGATCCAGAGTTGAGCGCGTGCGAACAGTGGTGTTGGACACAATGACGAGAGTTGGGATGTACAGGTGCTGATGTGTCATAGCCTGTTGAAGGGAGTTTGCGTCTGAACTGTGTTCTCGGTTTCCATATCTCTGAGCTTTGAGTGGGCGCTTGGCACCAGTGTGCTTTGCCATCTGTTGCATGCATGAAGTTGAAGAAGAAAGCGGGCCTGATTGCATTCTTGCTCTGTTTTCTTTTTGTTTTTTGTTTTTTAATTTAAACTTTTTTTTCCCTCGTTTTTTGTAAGGGTGACGGGCTTGAGGTATCATGATTGAATCATTGAACTGATCGGCCCCAGGTAATTCAAAATTTCATTTTATTCTGATCGTCTGGTTGCAGCTACATTGCTTTGTGTATTTTATGTACAATTATTAAATCCAAGTAAAGTATCCTCTCAGTTAAGTGAAGTGTGCAGCTTTCCTCTCTGATCGATCCTCGCTGTGATAATTCAGGGAGACTATTTGTTTTTCTATTCCTTCCTAAATAAAATACCCTACATGAACTGATTCATATATCAATCGTGCATCATGGTTTTTACCTATAAGGTTAACATCATAAGTGGTTGTCACTTACGGACTTAGGAGGATGACAGCAGGTGGATGGATGCCTTTTTTGCTCAACCGGTGAGCTATATGCTGACGCCAGGTCTTCATCCTAGTGAAGTGATTGACCCATCACAAACCTACTGCCTTCTCTTGGACGAACTTCGACCTATTTGTCCGGTCAGGTGCAGTCGTGTTAAACCGCCAGTACGTGGCCCCAGCCTTGCAGAAAGTTTTTGTCGCCACAAGCAAAACTCGGAGGCGCTGCGCGGCCAGGCCCGCCGCTGAAAAAAAAAAATCGGCGGTCTCCGAAGTGGTGCGGGTTTCGTGCTGACACCCGCGGGCCAATGTGTGGTGTACTGGTGCTTTAAACCGCCAGTACATGGTCCCAGCCAGATTGAGAATCGCGATTGAGCCGCTCATAAAATAGTGGAGGCTCGGGACAGGGCATCCGAAGGGCCAGTATGAAAAAAAGAAAAAACTTGTCCCATTTGCCATGGGGTGGCACTAGGCCCAGCCCTGAACAAAAAAATAAAAATAAAAAATTCTGCGCGCCCCGCCAGGCGGACCCTGTCCCGAGTCCCCTAACTTTTCTGAGAGACTCATTTGAAGTCCTCTAAATCTTGAGTGCGCTTACTTTCATGGTTTTTCATGCTCAGAGTTTTTGATGGAAAGGTCTGGAACGTAGTAGATTGATTGCTGAACTTTGTGCGACAAGAAATATGATTAGGAAAAAAACAAAGTACGAATCTTGGACGCTTCCCAAAAAAGTAACCAATCAGTTCCAGTAGAAAAAATGTACATGTTTCCAGTGTTAAAAACCCGGTAGGACCGGGGGGTCCTCCCCCAACCGGAACCGGACCGGTCCTACCGGCCGGTCGACCGGGCCGGTTCCCCCCTGGTTGGCTGTAGCGC